ACATGTTTCTCCCTAGCTTAACTACATCTCCTTGCAAATTAACAACAAAATAAAAAACTATTTTGAATTTGATAATTTGTATAGTACTTGTCAGTAGAATTTGAAAATTTAATCTTCAATCCAAAAATTGGATAAATTTGTTGGGTAATAAAACTTGTAAAGCATATAATTAAGATTCAATTACATAAAAATGGTAAATTGAAAAGTATTTCTTTTATTAACAACATAAATAAAAACTAAAATAATTTAATTATTAAAAAAAAGAGTGAGAGTGGGGGTGAGAGCGAGAGAATTCAAGCTTCTAGATTTGAAAGTTTATAGCTCGTTTGATCATGATCTCGTTTCTAATTTTTTGGAAATATTGTTGGATAAATATACGCTGTATATATTAACTGTGTAATACTGACAAACAGATTACAACGTAACTGGCTACAAACGATATAAATTTGAACAACTTGATGAACACCAAAACTTGATAAAAATAGTCGAGGCACGCTTCAATAGCGCTAACCTGAAAACAATTATTCGCTCTGCATAAGTTGCTAGCAGATTACAGCGATCGTCTCAGCAGGATACAACGACTAACTCTGGTAGAACTGCAACCTCGAAGTACTCGGATCTAGCAGAACTCTTAGATACTTGCTGTCAACATAAACAAGAAGAACAACTCAAAAGAAGAGAGAATTCTTGTGGGAGGAGGAGAATACCCAATTTTGATATGTTTGGATATCTCAAAATGAACAAAACCACAACAATATATAGTTGTCCAAACATGTAACTTATTACACAAAATTAAACTCATATGTAACCTTTTTGCATATGTTACATAGGTAACTTTAACATGTATAAAGTTACAAATTAATAAAATAAAGAAACAACTTTTCCATTTAAATAAATAACTCCAAAATTAAAAGAAACAAAACCACAAACATATTCACAGCGTATGTGTGAATAAGTTTCTTTAAATTACATTTTCTTTCACACCTTTAAATCCAACAAATATAAGCTTTTGATAATTGTTTATGTTTCTCGTTTTCAAAATTATGTAGAAATTTTGAAACAACGAAATCAAGTTTCTTGGTAAACAAAAAAAAAACAATTATAAAATGTAGTTATGTTTTTCTTTACTAAAAATTAATAAATGAAAACAAGAAACAAATGAAATAAGAAAAATAACAGTCACCAATTGAGTTCTTACAAATTAAATTTCATTCAAACTAACAAATCTGATTTCAATAATGGAAGTAAAAGAATTTTGAAAAAATAAAAGATAAAATAATCTATGACTTTTTTTAGTACAGCTTCCTTAAAAAAAATGGTGTGAATTTGAACCTATACTAAAAAAACAAGATAAATAATAAATGAAATTTATTTTATTTTCATTTAAATGGTAGCACCACATATATTTATTTATTACCATCGACATTTAGTATTTTCTCTCTTAACAAAATAGCATTTACTAATTTTTTTTTTTTTGAGAAAAAAATAGCATTTATTTTTAAAATCAAAGCATTATTGTTAGTTTGGATATTTGCAACAGTACAAAGATCTTACTTTTCAGAGCCAAATTATTGTTTTGCCCATAGACTATATACGAACTTCCGATTTTGCCCCTAAAGTTCTGCAAACTTCAAATATACCTTTTAACTTTGTTATTATTTCTAAATTACCCTTTTAACTTTGTTAATATCCCTGAGATTTTAATTTTTCCTTTTTTTTAATAGAAGAGAATACTGAGTTCGAACCTCCAACCTAAAAAAACGTAGATGTTAATTATTGTTGAGTTATGTTCATGTTGACGAGTTTAATTTTCCACTTAAACTATCTAAAGCTACAACTTCATGATCTATCCTTGCACTATAATCATAGATGATTTATTTAGAATGTGTTTAACAATGTTTATGTTTCTTATTTCTTCTTTACTATTTTTTTAATAAATAAAAATAAAAATACGTTCAGTGATTGTTTCTTGTTTTCTGTTTTTTTCGTTGAAAAATAAATAGAAATATGCTTGACAATTATTTTTTATTCTCCTATATTAAAAAAATTATACAAAAATTAACTTTTTCAAATTAAACATTCAAATTTTTATGTTCATATTTATTATTTATTATACATTTATAAGTTAAGAATAATAAACTAATACTTTTATTTATATTTTTAAAAATTTTGAGAAATAGAAACAAAATTGTCATTGTTGTTTCTAAAACTTGTACGCAGTTTTACTAGAAACGAGAAGTAGGAAAACATAAATGTCAGGGTCAACACAACAGTTGTAACATTTTTTTTTCTTTTTTAATTGCAAGGAGGAAATTGAAAAATAGCTATAGTACTTTAGGAGTAAAAATCATAATTTAGCTATTTTATTTTAGACTGAACTTTTTAAATATTTCATTTGTATAAATAATAATTGAAGACAAACCAAAAAGAATGCAAGAAAATAGAAATCAAAATGTACCAAACAGGTGTTTTTGTTTTCTTAGTGATGTAATTATTGTTCATTTAAATTTTTTCTCCAAGAAATCAAATCAAATCAATCATTTCCAATAATTTAATTTTCATAATTATTTCTATTTTGATGTTTAGACTTTTAAAATTACATTTTAGAGAATGAAAGTTGCATTAAAAAGCAACACTTCTGATTTCCATTAGTTTCCATTAATTATTTAACAAAAATCTAATTCACTTTTGAAATCCAACACATGGCCCTACACAAGTGAACTGAAATACTTGTAGGATTAGGTAAACTGATTAAAAAAAATATGTCTATTTTAAATTTTATTTTAATATTTAAACTTTTAAATTTATTTTATTTTAATCAACTTTCAAAATGTCTATTTCAAATTCTAAAAACTTTAAAAATAGAGGTATTTTGATCTTTTGAGTGTTCCATTCGTCTATTTTAGTCATTGAACTTTAAAAGAAAGAAATAATTATTTCCATCATTCCTATTATGTGCCCCCATAACATCTACCCACCCAATCAGCGAATCTATATGGCTCCAATACATGCACGCATTAATCATGTTAAAAAATTGACGACAAAATAGACAACGAGGGCCAAAACTAGTGTTTATTTATTTTTAAATTTAGAGATTAAAATCAATATTTTAAAAGTTTAGGAACGAAACAAAACTAGAAAACTTAGAGACAAAAATAAACATTTTAAAATCGAAAGACTGCAAATAAAATCAACAAAAAGGCTCAAGAACCAAAATGAGATTTGAATAAAGAATAAACCAACCACGACATGAATATAGACCCAAACAAACAAAGTGGGTAAAAGTCCAAAGATTATAGGCTGAAATCAGCCTAAAATTTTAGAGACCAAAACGAAATAAACCTGAATTCAGAGCAGCAAAGCACGATTCAATCCAATTTGAAGAGTTAAAATAGTTGCAAGAAAACAAAGAGGAAAATAGTGAGAGAGAGAGAGAGAGAGAGGGTGTGAAGAAGAGTCAACAAGTAGGGATAAATGAAGTATCTTGTTTTGGAAGTTAGCTTAACCACCATGTCCTTTTGTCTTAATAGGATGAAGATAAAACCAAATTGTATGGTCATTGCCATTTGAAAACAAAACAAAATTTGGTGTTTTGGAAGCACATTGGATTGGGTTGAACTTTGAACTTTGTTTTGCATTTTCCCCCTCTCTCTCCCATCACTTGCCCCACTAGGAAACGAAACTCCAACAAATGGGTATCCCTTTGGTCTTTGTTATGGCTTGTTTGGATGTATCCATCTTTTGGGAATATTTAAAACCCCACCCTTGATTCCCCATCCACCTTACATCAAGACAAAATGCAACTCAAGTTGGACCTTTAAACACAACTTTAACCATAGGGATACTCAACCCAAACAAGACTCTTGCTTTAGAGAGGGAAGGCTTGGTTTTTCTTTTGGTTTCGATGCCACTTCGATCCGTAATTTTTAGGTAACTTTCAGAATGTTAACTTTGATTGATGCATGTTTAGCTTAAGTCTATTTTGGTTCATGTACTTTTAAAAAATGATTCTTTTCGTCACTTTTTTTTTTTCTCTCAATAGATTTTGTCAAATATAATATTGCCATGGATTTTTATAGAGGAGAATTGTAATAATGTAATGGGTAGCAAATAGTTTTTTCACTTTTGCCAATAAAATACAAGAAATAAGAATTTGCAAATATGGAAATTTGGTATACGTGTGATGTTGACATATGTTGATGGAGGTTTTTGAAAATTGTATCATATTTGTAAATCTTTTTAACTTGTGCTATATATGCTATTATTTTAGGCTAGATTGCAATATGTGCAAACAAATATGGACCAAAAGAGTCACTTTTAAAAATATATGATCGATGTTTTTTAAAACGGCAACGATTAAAATAGATAGATTAAATTGCAAATTTGGTTCCTATGGTTTGGACAAAGTTTCAATTTAGTTCATACAATTTGGTTAATTACAATTTGGTCCCTGTAGTTTGAGTTCAGTCCCTATAATTTTAAAAGTTCTAGTCAAGTCTCAATTGTTTGGTCAAACTCCACAAATCATCTTTGCTACTCTCAATATTGACAGTTTTTTTTTCATGAGCCAATTTTCTATTCGAACAATTGTGTTAGACTATTGTATTAAGGTTTAGAGTTTGAATAAACTCTAAGGACGTCTTGTGAGATTCAACCAAACCATAGAGACAAAAAATAGAGATCAAGTCCAAATCTTAGAGGTCAAATTAAAACTTTTAAACGAATAGAGACCAAATTGAAACTAATTCAAAATTATTGGACTAAATTGAAACTCTTAAAATTATAGGAATCAAATTAAAACTTTAGTCTTAAAACGGATAAAAATTTAAAGTTGATGAGCTAAAACAGATATTTAAAAAGTAGTAGGAGACAAAAATTGAGTAACAAAATAGAATTTAAAGTTGGATTTGTTTTGCACCCCTTTTGGAGCGAGAAGAAAACAGGAGGCTCGGCCTCTCAGAAATTCCATATTCCCCACTTTAGAGTAAAGGACAAAAAATGCAATGACGACAAAAACGATCATACCACCACGCTTTGTCGACAACGTAGTCTTCTCATGGAGGAGGAGCCTTTTCAAAACAGAGCTTTAATTGAGACTGATGATGGAAACAGAGGAAACCCACAAGCACTCGCAACCCCAGATTCCAAGTACTCTTCTCTTCTGACCCTTTGGATTGGATTTTTCCCCCAATTTTCCATTTGGGTTTTCGATTCTCTACAAAACCCAGTAACCCTTTCTTGATTTAATGAATCTTTCTTTATTTCTTTCTTCTTGGTCGTCTCCTCCACTGCTCTCCTGATTCTTGTAGCTTAACAAGTTTGTTTATGTTCATGTTTTCATTGAAATCTTCTGTTTCCACTCGCCCATTTCAGTATCTTCTGTGTTTCCTTTTTGGGGTTTTTCTTTTCCTCTCTCTTTCTCTAGTTTGTGTAATTATTCTCAGCAGCAAACCCATTTTGTCTTTTGCCCTTTAATCCCCATTCTCATGTTTGTACAATCTCCCATGAGTTCTCTGAGAAATGATGAGGGAAACTGAGGATTTTGCTCACTCTGATTCATGCAAGTTGGTTCTTCTATGTGCTATATAATACCAAGAAGAAACTACTGGTTTCTGTGAAGTTGATTGTTCATAAATCATAGTCTGTTTTTTTTTTTGGCTCCTCCGCTCTAGAAATTGGTTCTAGGTTTACTGCATTGAACAATGTTTCAAGACGAAGGCACATCCTCCGTAACTTCCTCCCCTCTCCAGTTCTTCACTATGATGTCTCTTTCACCTAAATTGGGTTCTCCATATCCATGGCTTAGAGAGCTCAAATCTGAGGAGAGGGGCTTGTATCTGATCCATTTGTTGCTTACTTGTGCAAATCATGTGGCTGTTGGTAGCCTTGACAGTGCCAATCTTGCCCTTGATCAAATATCCCATCTTGCTTCTGCAAATGGTGACACAATGCAGCGGATTGCAGCTTATTTCGCCGAGGCTCTCGCAGATCGAATCCTCAAAACTTGGCCCGGTCTTTACAAGGCCTTCAACTCCACCAAGATGCCAATGGTTTCAGAGGAGATTATTGTTAAGAAACTGTTCTTTGAAATGTTTCCATTCCTCAAGGTGGCTTTTGTGCTTACTAATCAGGCTATTGTTGAAGCCATGGAGGGGGAAAAGATGATACATATAATTGATCTCAATGCCAATGAAACTGCTCAGTGGCTTGCACTTCTGCAAGTTTTGAGTGCCAGGCCTGAAGGACCTCCCCATTTGAGAATCACTGGGGTTCATCCACAGAAAGAGGTTCTGGATCAAATGGCTCGTAGGCTGACCGAGGAAGCCGAAAAATTGGATATCCCGTTTCAATTCAATTCTGTTGTCAGCAGATTGGAGAACCTTGATATGGAAAAGCTTCGAGTGAAAACCGGGGAGGCTCTCGCTATCAACTCGGTTCTTCAGTTGCACGCCCTTCTGGCCTATGATAATGAAGTCCCACAAAAACCATCTCCTTCAGCATCAAAGGGTGCAAATGGAGTTCAGTACTCGAGATACCCGCATCTGAACCAAACCACCTTGAGTGAGTTACTCGAAAAGGATTTGGTTAATGGTTGCAGTCCAAGTTCAGACTCAGTTTCCTCATCAGCACTATCTCAAGCAAACGTGACGAAGATCGATAGCTTTCTGAATGGATTGTGGGGTTTGACGCCAAAGGTGATGGTTGTAACCGAACAAGATTCGAACCACAATGGTTCAACACTTATGGAGAGATTACTAGAGGCTCTCCACACATACGCAGCTGTTTTTGATTGTCTGGAATCGAACATGTCAAGAACATCCCTGGAAAGGTTGAAGTTAGAAAAGATGCTATTTGGGGAAGAGATTAAGAACATAGTAGCTTGTGAGGGAGCTGAGAGGAAGGAACGACACGAAAAGCGCGAGAAATGGAGTCAACGGTTGGATCTCGCAGGGTTCAGGCATGTGTCTTTGAGTTATTACGGCATGCTGCAGGCACGGAGCCTGCTACAAGGGTATGGTTGTGATGGTTATAGGATGAAGGAAGAGAATGGTTGTGTGATGATATGTTGGCAAGATCGACCGCTGTTCTCGGTATCGGCTTGGAGGTGTTGTAAGTAGAAGAAAATATAGGATCTGGTTTCTTATTATAGTCTAAAGAATTCTTTTCATTCTGATTTGATCAGCGTAGGAGAACGATCGCAATGTCGATGCCATATTCTTACCCGAAAACCCCCTGTGGCCTTCTTGTTTCTTGAAAGTAGATCACATTTGTTTTAGTTTTGCTCATTCTATATGTTGCTGAAGAGTACTGATGTTTGGTCTCAATCATGGTTCATTTTTGTATCAAAGGGAATCCAATATAACCTTTTCATGTGGGGTCTCAATCATGGTTATTGTATAGTGTTAACATTGATTTATTGTCCTCTTTGTTTTTCAAGTATAACAAAATTTATAAAATCGTGGAAGTTTGTGTTAAATCACCGCTGAACTCAAAAGCTTAAACCGATGGGTTATATTAAATTTAATCTTTTAAAGATACCTTAACACTCTCCTTCAAATTTGTACAATGATCCAACACGTGATAGTCAATATTAAAAGAGGAGAAAATGACATTATAAGAGTACATAGGACCTTCTAATTACCATTGAACCCAAAAATTTGACCATGTTAAATCACTACGGATCTCAATAGCTTAAACTGATAACCATAATAAATAACACAGTAAATTTAATCTTTCATGGATAGTATTTAAGCCTAGCAAGTTCATTAAATAAGAGTGTTTATTGGATTCAATCCAATTGTTTGAAATGAAAGTTTATGTGTAATGTAGGGTTGGTTGAACACTGAACCAAGTATTAGAGAGAAAAGTTGCTCAGAAAGATCAAGACATTTTGGTGGATCCCCATAACTGCACATTGTTTAAAAGGATTTGAGAGTATAATTATTTAAGACCAGGTATCAAATAAAGTTTTTAAAAATTAATTAAAAAATGGTGAAAGTCCATTCGGTAACGTTTTCGTTTGTTGTTTATTGTTTCTCGTGTCAAATTTAGTAGCTATTCATGTTTTTAGTTTCTCAGTTTTAGAAACCTTCTCAAAATTATGTAACCATTTTAGAAATAATAAAATCCAAGTTTTTTTTGTTATTTGTTCTCATTTCTATTTTTTTTTTTCAAAATATAAATAAAAACATTATTTTATCATTCTTAACTTATAATAAAATGTAGGATAAATGTTGAAAAAATGAATATAATATAAAATTTGAATATTAACTGAAAAATTCATAAATTTTTTAAATTTAAAATTTTAGTGAACGTAAAATAAAAAAAATAGATACTAAACATGTTTCTATCTTTTCTCAATATGAATAATAAGAAGAAGAAACAAGACACTCTAAACACAGTTTTGTTTTTATTTATTAAAAATAGCAAAACAAGAAACGTAACCAATAAACAATAAATCCCAACCAGGTCCAATGTGTTTAATTACCTACTCGATAGTATAATTGATTTTTCATCAAATGATACCTTAAAATCATTTTTTTAATTTGCTAAATATGATCAATGAAAATAAAAGTGATTCTAACAATGGAAAAATTATTTTGATCATGTCAAAATCACTCCCGAACAAATCCTAAATCAATTTAAAATGATTTTAAACTTTTCTAAAATAAATTTTTTAATTTGCCAAACATGATCCATGAAAAAGAAGAGTGATCTTGACAATGGTAAGAGTGATTTTGGTTAAATAATTTTGGTCAAACCAACATCACTCCCAAACACACCAAAGTTATTTCAGAAGCGCTTAGTTCATGCTTCTTTCAGAGAGGCTTAAATGACATTACGTATGTCTCAAAAGTTACCTCAAAATTCTGGAAACATTGTAATGTTCTTGTATTAAATTTAAGAAATGATTTTTTTTTTTAACAGCGACTGAAAAGTTCAGTCTGATTGCAGAAAACTTGGTTCACTATGCAACCCTTCTGCGTTCTCTCTTCATAGGAGATTCAAAAGAGAGAATTTGATCATTACACTTGGAAAAAACTGCATTTTTAACTTGATCTATAACCTATGTTCATTTAACACAGTTCTCTTCCGAATGGTTTGAAGAAGAATATCGAAACCAGCCGTGCACTTTCACCAAAGTGGATGGTGAAGACAAAGTCGTGTAATGGTATAACCACGAACTTCTCTGTGAGACACATGAAGTTACAGCAAGAACTATACAAAACCATCAATCACTATCCATGTCGATACAATCAGAAACCGAACTAATGAATTCGACATTGAAATTTTATCGGCTGAAGTTTGTAATCTCAATGGATTCACAAAGGGAGTCCAATGTTACATACAGTCCCGCAGCCAGTAACTATAATCATTCTATAAATCTATGCTAACTACAATCTTCAGTACTCAGTGGATATCTGCAGTCCCTTTCAAATCCCGAGCGACTCTATTGAAAAAGGTGCCATCAGTACGTGTAGATCAGTAGAACTGTGTTTAATCAGGAACTGAATTCCTAGTTCCAATACATGCGTTAGAGGTCGAGCTTGCTACCTAAGAGATGGGTTAATGCTAGTCCAAGAGATCGTGACTAGCCTAATACAACGTATATTCATGTGGTTAGTCTATAACTGCAATCGTACTGTCATCATTACCTAACAAGTGAATCAGTCTGGTCTGATGTCGCCCACTTCACATCCAATTCGGCAACTTTTTTTTGTTCCTAATGTTCTAGGTTCAAACATGTATGCAAACCATACCAAGCCAAAAGTTAAGAACTTGTGGTATCTGACTATGGAAGTTAGCCATTCAGGTCTTCACCTTCAATGAAGTAGATTGGTCCTTTGAACCTGCGTTTAAAACAAGATACTTCATAAGAATTTCAACGATGAAAAATTATGAAAAAAACTTAAATAGGTCCATGCTGGAATCTCATTGTTTTTTATCTAACAGTTCAGGAAGGCTGGGATATGGGAATAGTTTACAAAAAAAAAAAAAAAAAAAAGTTATACGTTAGGATAATTGGTCCGCATACGCGAGAATGCAATTTAAATCTGTTGAGAGCATACAAGAAAAGAAGACGACTCAAGGTCGGAGCTGCCACATTCAAATAGATAGTCTCATATAAAGAACAGGTACTACACAATTAGGTGAAAAAGTAAGAGCTTAACAGTACAGATGGCATCAAAAATAAGAATTTTTTCCATCAATATTGCTCTGGTTAAATCACTGCTGATTAGTTACAACAAATTTAATCATTTATCAATAACTTTAACACTCTTCTTTATTTGTTGGCTTGGAAATTTATACAAGGCACAAAGAAGTGGTTATCAACATTAAGAATACAAGACTTCCTACTTGATACCACGTTAAATTACTACTGAACCCAAAAGCTTAAGCTGATGGGTTACGGCGAATTTAATCATTTATCAACACTCTAATTAACAGCTCTATATTCCCTTCTCTCCTTTTTCCATTTTTGGCCACCTAAATTTAGGAATACTGAAAATACAAAATAGAAAGATGGTACACAAGCAAGGCATACAACTAATGCTATTAACCCTCAGCATACAAAATTGAATTATTCAAACACATATTTGTACCATGGGACGGGCAGCAACTAACCCGCAGCTCTGATCTGTCCTCATAAGATTTCAAATACGCAACACCGCAACGACCATCTGCCTCATCTTTTCTGAATAGCACCTTCAAGCTGGCTACTAAGTACAGCTTTCCAATTCTCTCTCTCATTTTCACAAAAGAATCTAATTCTTCTTCTTGTTATCCATATAGATAACATATCTTGTTGTTTCAAACTTTAAATACACATTCTCTATCACATCCATTTACCTAATCATGGAGGCACTATATTCAAAAGAAAATGAACACATCTTCAGCTTACCAAGTTAGTTACTCAGATTCCAAGAAGTCAACACAAATATTTTATAAGAAACAACACTTCATTAAAAATCCAGTTTACAGAGAGTAGTAGTCTGTACTCCTACTGAAACCCCAAAAGGAAAAATAAAAAATAAAAAGAACAAGAAAGAAAGAAAGAAAGAGGTAGCTTTCATTTTAAAAAATGAACGAATACAATGGAAGAAACAAGTACAAAAGTTCTAGAAAGACAAAATAAAAGGGTACAAGTACAACTAGTCTAGCAACAGAAGCATTAATCCCATAGACAGATAATTCTTTAAATGCTTAGTCATAGAGGCTCAAAGTGATGCAATGAAACAACTCTAAACCATGCAGTACTCTCCAATAAAATTATCTCCGATAACCTTTTTGCTTCTATTCATCCAAATACCCAAATACTTCAATAGATCATGTGTCTTTCAGGTTCCTGTGACATCCCCTTAGTTAAACATGCTTCATTTCTAAAAGAGCAAATTAATCATTCAATTACTTGAAGTAAAAATGCTTACTTGCTTTCAGCGTGAAGTTAAATCAATAGTCAGAATGGAATCACACATCCGAGGCTGTGATAATAAGTGGTTATCAAAGTACATTGAAAAGACGAAATATAAAAGGCTAAGTACATAATACACCTACAAATAAAGCAACGGCCATGTGGGAGCATAGTACCAGAATAGATCCCCTTGATCCCTTCCTCTTTGTCATTGTTGCGTATGTTTTTAGTAGCTTGCTGGATCATGGGTATGACTTATGAGGCTGGCCTGCTGGAAGGATTTGTGGTGGAGAAGGATTGCATCCATATAACTCATCTTCAGTTTGCTGATGATACCATCCATTTTGCCATGAATGATGCAGGAAGCTGACCAATTTGCGAGCAAATATAGGCCTTTTCAAAATGATGTCAGGGCTGAAAATTAACTTGAATAAAACCTTGCAAATGGGGATTAATATTCAGCAAGAAGCAGTGAGAAGTACAGCTGATAACTGGGGGTGTGGTGTAGTTGGTCTATAGGTTATCTAGGGATGCACTTGGGGGCAATCCTAAGTGTAAAGGATGTTGGGAACTGATTGAAAAAAATATCAGTTCTAAATGGGCAAGTGGAATGGTTTTCTGAGCTCAAGAGGTGGGAGATTAACCTTGAATAATGCGGTTTTGACAAACATCCCATTATACTGTTTCTCAGTTTTTCAATGCCCTAAATCCATAATTAAAGGCTTGAGAAGCATACGAGGCAAAAAAAAGACCCCACTGACGAGAGTTTTTGTATCAGTGCACAACATGTTGCTTCGTGGTGGTCTTTATACCACAAAAATTATTTTGTAATTATAGCCTACATTTGATAGCTAGAGATGGGAAGGCTACCATTGTCTAGTTTTTGGGGGAGGCTTTTCTCAACCCCTGCCCTTAGGTTGTCTCCTTTTTTACAGATCAATGAATACTTTGATTCTTATCAGCAGAAAGAGGAAAAAAAAAAAAGAAGAAGAAGAAGAAGAAGAAGAAGAAGAAGCAGCATATGAGGGACTTCCTTTGGAAAGGAAATGATAAGGACAACGGCTCTAACTTGATAACTTGATAATGGAAGATTACTTCTCCGCCCGTGTGTAAAGGTGGTATGAGTGTGGGCGATTTGGAGGACTAGAAACATTAGCCTTTTAGCAAAGTGCGGCGGCTAGAGATATATGAGAGAACATAATTCCTTATGGAGGAAGGTGATTGCTAACAAATATTAAGGCAGAAAGGATTGAGGGATCCCTCCCCATGTGCACCGCTCAAACTTGTTTTAAAGGCCCTTGGACTGGCTATAGCCAAGTGCTGTGGGCTGGTTGACAGATGGTATAAATGCAGATTTGGGGAATGGAGAAAAAGTCATGTTCTGGCTTGATGATTGGGCAGGATGTGGACCTTTATGTAATAGATTTTCGAGGAGCTTTAGAATCATTCAATGCAAAGAGACCATGGTTCAGCAAATGTGGTCAGAAGAGTCCCATCCGTGGAAGACGATATCTAGAAGGAACCTCACTGAAAGGGAAATTTATGGATTAGTCTTCAGCAGTATTTTTCATCGCTCAAGCACAGTAAGCAAGACACAAAAGTTTGGAGTTTAAGTAGCTCTGGAGGACTCTCGGTAAGTTTACCGACCGCTAAAATTACGACGCAATATCCCCTCAGATTAAACCAGATGCAACTGGAAATCTAATATCCCTAGAAGGTGAAAGTGTTCCTTCAGATCCTTAACCAAGAGAAGCTGAATACTTGTTATAGGACTCAGAAGAAAGGGCAAGCTGGTGCGTCATGTGTAAAGCAGAAACGGAGTCTCATCCCCATCTCTTCATGTTTTACGACTTTGCAAATGCTGTGTGGTCCAAATTCTTAAGGATTTTCGGTTTAAGCTGGTGTTTCCCCAAGTGTTGCAAGGAGGCTTTGCTCCAGCTTTTTGTTGGTTCTTCATTAAAAAGGAAAGCTTTGGTTATTTGGCAAAACTGCTGAAACGTGGTGTCAGCTACAGTATCCTACGGAGGATATGGTTTGAAAGGAACCAAAGAGTTCTAAAAGGCATTGAAGCATATCTTTTCAGGGCTTTTGGGATCTTGTTCACATTTTTACTTCTACATGGTGCCGCTTCTTTCTAAAAACTTTTGTAATTACAGCTTTGTGAATAATAGTGCCAGCTGGAGATCTTTTTTGTAACCGTTGGCTTTTAGGGGATTGCTCTTTCCTTTTTCTTTTTTCTAAAAGAGCTGCCTTTGATATGAAATTTTTAGTTTCTTAAAATTAAAAAAGAAGAAGAAGAAGAAGAAGATCCTAATAAGAAGTGAAAAAGAAAAATTAATGGTTCTACTGGAAAAATATGGGGAAAAAGAAAACCTTATAGGAAATTTTAACCATTGCAGGAAATCAAAAAGATCTTAATAAGTGAAAGATAAAAATTGATGGTTCTACTGGAAAAATATGGGGAAAAAGAAAACCTTATTAGAAATTTTAACAATTTCATAAATAATTTATATGCAGGAAATCCACAAGTAGGAAGTGCATATTCATAATTAGCTAACCAAGGTTTTATCTTATTCATAATTGATGGTTCTACACGAAATCCACATCATTGTTCATTTTCGTTAAGTTCATATCTTATTCCAAAAAAAAAAAAAAATTGGCTAACCAAGGTTGCAGAAAGAGAGTTTCCTCATCTTAATGTTGTATAATAACTCAAATATAACAAAGAAAATAGGATAAAACAGGAACAGCAAGATTTATGACCAAAATTGGGAGAACAAACGTTTGATAGTCACATTTACAACAATTCGGCAGTAGGAAGTAATCAGGACGTCGATAAAAACTATACTGACTCCTATAGCTCCAGGCCAATTGTATCATCGGAATCAACTAATTTTGAAATCTCAAATTTCTATTTAGTTTCAGTCAATACACAATAGACAGGAGAATGCAGTTAATTTTTCTTTCATTTTGCTTTTTCTTTTTTTTTCATAAGAAACATAGTTATCTCTCCTACAATATTTGATATATCATATCTATAAAGGGGAGGGAATGGGTTCCTCAGAACAATTAACCACAGTAATATTTTGTACCTCAGGAACCTCCAAAATATCAGCCTTCTGATTCATTTGATGGGGACAGACAGGAGGCATCCTTTTCCGACATGTATGGCACCTAAATCCAATCAATTTATCTATTTTAGTCTGATCAAGTCCAAAAGCATCTCCATGAAACCACACTGCATGATACACAAAGGGGAAAAGAGAACATATTAGTTAAATTCTTCCACGCTACTTTACTATAAGCCAAAAGAAATCATGTTAAAAGATTTTTTTTATAAAAATAATTCCAATATGAGAGAGGAACAGGAAAGAAGGCACTTACCGCCACAAATTTCACAAGCAATATAATTCAAAACAGAAGCATATTCTGCTTCAGAACAAAGATTGCATCTTGGTTTTTCAAGGTTCACAGAAATACTCTGAGATAGAGCAAGAAGCTTTCTCTCTCTAAAGTGTGTCACTCGTTCATCACCAGGCTTCCTAGAAAGGAAGAGACCGTTAAGCCAGAAGCTATGACACGCCAGAGTTCTCTTCTTCTGCAAAGAAGTCTCTCTCTTGCGTTTTTTTGGTGTTCCCTTCCTGGACTTGATCTTTTTCCTTTTCACACCTCCTCCAACCTTTTTATCTTGCTTTTTCTTTTGTAGCGATGAGTATTTAGCCTGTCTTGCTGAACGGCGTAGAGGGATACCTGTTGGAATTTTGGACTTATTTTTTGTCTGTACTTGTTTTCCAGCCCTTAACACTCTTTTTCTGTTTCTCAATCGCAATGCACGTTGATCACTAGAAGCTTTTTTATGTCTTGCCATATTCAAATTCCCTCCTTTTACACTACTTTTCCCTCTTTTTCCACCAGTCTTCACAGATATACCATCCCAACATCTGTGGCAGGCGTATGTACATTTTGCAGCAACGGACTCCACATACTTCTTCACATGCTTTTTGTGAAAAATTCCTGAAAGTAGAATAAGAATAATTAGGAACCGAACTTAAAATAGAGATTCAAAAATATTAACTTTTCCAAACAAATTTTATCAGCATTCTTATTTTGGTTGACAATTTAGGCATTCAACTTGTAGATGAGCTAGCATAGCAACCATACGCTTATTCATCAGTGCTATCTTTTCAATCAGAATCTAATTAATCACTGCATAAATACAGAGAATTAGAACAAGTACAAAAGTAAAGGATCTGCTAGAAGGCGCTATCTTCATGGGATGTTAACTATAGAAAGAGAACCATGATTATCCCCATCAAAATTAATATACATCATGAATGGCTGGTAAAATTCATTTCCACTGTGAGATATGAAGTACTAGAAATTTAAATTAATAGAACTCGCTTGAAAAGGTAAATGTAAAGAAGAACAAAATGTAATACTACAAGTACTATATCACAATCCTTTTCTGCAATCTGATACTAACAACTCAATAACTTGACTTGTGGTTCCCAATACGCAAAACAAAAGGGGTCCAGAGAAGAAAGCCGCCAAATTTACCTTGACAGTAGCGGCAACTAACAGCTTCCCTACAGTTTAAAGAAAATAGAGTCAATAAAGTGATAAAATGAAGATACACGAAGTATAACGCAACAAAAGGCCACTTAAGTCATTTAATAATGATGGTTAAATAATCACTAAACCTAAAAACTTAAGCTAATGAGTTACGGCAAATTTAATCATTTATCAATATTTTAATTTGTTCCCTCACTTGTGAGCTTGAAAATTTGTACAAATCCCCACAAATGGTAATCAATATCGTACAGGGAAGAAATGAAATTACCGGGTTCAAACACAGGATTTCCTACTCCGATACTATGTTAAATCACCACTAAACCCAAAAGTAAATTGATGGGTTACAGCAAATTTAATGATTTATCAATATGTTTAACAATGATATTAATGATATTAACAATGATATTAATGACATCAGAGGCCTTTTGATATTTAAAGCATAAAAGTAATCAATTTCATCATTTTCTACATTCATTAAAAAGCCTACTATTTGCATAAATAAACCTTGAAATTTGTAGTTGTGGTTGCTTTGGCTCGTTGGCTTGTCAAGATCTTAGATTTTTTTTTTTAACAAGAAAAAGTTCACGGATATAAGCTCCTAAAGGAAGCGGGAAAAAAAAAAGAAGAAGAAAAGCAACCAAATGTAAGAACCAACTACAAGGAAATAGACGATATTTGAAGTCCAAGAAATATCAAAAAGGAAATTAGATGTTAAAAAAACTTTCAACAACAAAGTTTGCCAAACCAAAAGGACTGTCTGAAAAGATCGCTTACTGAGGAAGAAACCAAACAACCACTTAACACAAACTGATAACTAAAAAGAAGAAGCAAAGAAACTGAAACCTCTCTTCACCAAGAAAATACCAGAAAACCGAAAGATCTGCACCCTCAAAACTTGTTGTTTCAATGATACACTTATTTTTCTGACTATGAAGAAGGATAAATTTTTCAATCTTCTTCAATGCATTAATCTTTTAGGCTTTAGTTTGACGGTCAATCCTGCTAAATTAGTGGCTACAGGCCAATGTGCTTCAAAATGTCTTGTCGTGTGGCTAATATGTGGGGCTTCCAGTTGCCTATTTTCACTCCTTTTAGGAGTTTGTATCTTAGATGTATTTTCTTTTCACCATTTCAATGAAAAATTTGTATCTTGTTCTAAAAAATATGTGGGGCTGCCAGGTAGGCAGCTATTCAATGATTTATTTAGGATTACTCTGTAATTCTAGAATCCACTTGTGGAAAAGGTAATTCTAGAATCCTTGCTCAGTCCATGCTTATGAACTTGCTTACTTTATCTTTTCTCAGTTTTTAAAGTTTTAACTCTTATGTCAAAGTCTAACAAGTCAATTTGATCAAGGATTTCTCTTGGGAGGGGGCTTGGAGACGTTTCATAAGGAACTTGCCTCTTTGTGGCATACATGGTTGTTAGAAAGTACGGTTTTGATGATTTTAGATGGTTGATTTTTGCCCCATGCAAGAACTAGAAGCTCCTGATTTTCCATGATGGAACTTAAAGGTCCTATCCCGAGAGACTTGGTGGTTAACATCAAAGACGAGTTTGTGATCAAATTTTGGGAAGATGATTAGTGTGACGAGGAGTCCTTTGTTGTGGCCTTCCAAAAATTATTAGATCTTACTGAAAGTTAGAGGTGTGGAACAATAATGGGACTTAGATCGAGTTCTGAGATGAAAAGAGGAGGATGCTTTGTCTTGTTACAAATGATAGCCAACTATGAACCTTTCAGTCTCAGGAATTTGGGATGTGGATTCTTGATGGTTTAGTACTATTTATTCGCCCAAGCTTTTTGTGCATTTCTGACTGGAGTAGAGTAGCTGCATTAAATCCTTTGCTAAGCAATCATATACTGAATTCTAAAATAACCAAAGAAGTTCGAAATGTTTATAGATATTGGAAAACTCCAAAAGGCTATATAACAAAAGCTGTTGTAGATATTTTATTCCCATGTGTGCCTCCCTAGATATGTCAACTCTTCCTTCTTATCCTTATTACATGGTCTTAATACTAATAGAGCAGGTAAAAGTTCTTCAGAATAATGCTATTAGGACTCTTCAATCATGGGCGGTTAGATTCACGAGAAATAGAAGATCTTCTGGGATATCAAAGGATGCTGGGAAGAAATTTGGAATTGAACAGCTTTTGTTGCTGCTTCTCAAGTTCCCTCTCAAATTATTTTTGTGGTTATAATCATATATAGCTATAAATTGGACTGATTTTTGTAATCCTTTGGCCTGAATGTCTGGAGAGAGGATTTTCCTCTTGCCTCTTTTATAATGTCATTCATTCAATGAAATAGATTTCTTAACAGTAAGAAAATAGATATAAGAATAACAGTAATAGACTACAGAAACAGGTCCTATATTTCCGAAAAAACTAGAAAAGCAATTAAATTGAAAATTTGAGCTATGAAGCACATCCAAGTGAACAAACAATAAATGTGAAATACCTGACAGGCACAACTTTGTTACAGCGGCCACATTGATATAAATCAGGTTTATCTGCTTTTGAAAACAAATATGCAAATCCCTTCTTCTGGGAGGACTTCACAGTATGCAATTCTGCATTTTTAGGCTTAACCTCATTTGTTTTGCGTGCAATTCTTTTCTCCTCAAAATTCTTCAACAGATGCAAAGGAACATAAGTCTCATTTAGCCAATATCTCTTTCTTTCGTTACTGGAATCCTCAAGTTTAACCCCATATTTTTTAACAATGTCTGGAATAACTCTTCTCTTTCCAAAGTCAAGGAGATATTTTACAAAGTCCCCTTCAACAGACTTACGGCGCACAATTACCTTCTTGAAAAGCCTGATTGATTTTCTTAATTCCTTTTCTAACGTAGGAAGAGGATGGGTATTTTCAATGTCATCCCACCTAATGTTTGAATAAAGCTCCCTAACCTGAAAGCAATTAAAGAACATACGGGTCACCAAAAAGGTACATAAAATGATACTACAATCTATCCAAGCACTGATCAGATTCTTCAGAAAAAAAATTATTCATTTATTAAGGATTTTTTTCATTAACCAGCATTTACAGGATAATAGTTAAACGACTTTATTATGGCAGTATAATACTGCTTGGAAGGCTTTAACCATCTTTTAGCTACCCCGATACTAAAGGTAACTAATACCTTGTTAATATACTCTGTCATCTTTCTCCCAATTATTAACAATGCAGAATGTTCTCTCTCGGTCTCTCAACTTCCACCAAGAAGGGTACATTAAAGACTGAAGTCCAGTAGCTTTTTCATTTTACTTTTTACAGAAGAAATATATGTATGTATATATATATATATATCCATACGGAATTGTAGAAGTACAAAAAGCAGCCGGTGGCAATAGCCATGAAAGAGGAACAACTCACCGAAACTCAGACCCTAAAAGGAGGGATGGACCCAGTTAAAAGTCCCCCACTACTCCCCCCACATGGACCCCCAAAAATAGGAAAAGATAATAACGACGGAAACAGAGTTCCCAATTTTAAATGTGGAAGATAAAAAATGAAAAAGAACAAAAATAATGGAAGAATGAGAATGGCATTTCTAGCCTCCAAGAGGAATGAATCAACATAAATGGTCCCTAATTTTTCTGCAGAACTCACATATTAGAAATCATTCACCCTCCTTTGTTTAAATTTAGAAAACAATGTAAATGAGAGCAAGGGAAAATGATTCTCATTCTCACTAAGTAATGGGGGCCTAAGGATTGAATTCTCTCAAAACTATGAATGATATCTCCATTTGCAGTCCCTGTTTTAATCTACTTCCTTCTCGTCCAAAGAGATCAAAATCAAATTATGTAACAATTCCATCATTTGTAAATTAGTCCAAACATGACAACCATTAGATAATTTCAATATTCCATCTTCTAAAACAAATGATCAAGGACTGGAATGGAAACACTACACCAATCAGAGGGATAAAAAAACATTCATAAAGTTCTCCTCCCACAAGGGAAAAAATAACAGATTTTGAATTTAAATAATATTCCTTTTTTTTTGCCACTAGAAGTTGAATATAAACAACAGAAGGGGGAAAAAAAGGTCATGGCAAGAAAGAGGAACTAGTTTTTTTTTTAATAACAAAATACAAGATTTCCATTGATAAATGAATTGGACAAAAATGTTCAAAGATACAAACGCAGGAGTGAAAGAAAGTACAAATAATAAGAAGAATCAAAAGATTAAGACAAAATAAAACCATCCTAAGAACAACGGATGATACTAGAAGAATAACTCGAGAATAAAACTGAAAGAGAACATTAAGATGCAGTAGAAAGAGGAACTAGTATTATATGAGTATAAATGCAAATTAAAAAACCTGGAATGCAAGTTGCTCCACACTTGTTGATGCCTCTACAGCAGCTCGCCAGGCAATACATCTGCTCCTTCTCGCACATTCTGAACCCTCAGGATACGCAATTCCTGGTATCTTTGTACAGCCAGCTGCAGAATTTTAAACTTCAAAAGAATTCAGAATCACTATTCAGTTGACTTCATTGCAAATGATGTCAACCCAGCTTCAAGAAAAAATTAACATGTCACATACCTTGTCGTGCAGCCTTCGAAACCAATGAACGAGGTAGGACCTTCCAGTTAAACATGCGTCGAGAGAGCTGGCCACCCCTCCACCAAAACATACTTAATCCACTAGAACCATTTGAAGAGGCACTTGACTCAATATCTGAAAACCTAGCCCTTTTCCTGCTTATTCCATGTCTAGTAGCACGTAGTGAACTGGTAATGAAAAGAGAAGCTGAACCCAAGGTGTTAACAGAGTCGACATACTTAAACCACTCAGCTGATATAGCAGGATGGCGCAAATTTGATTCTATCTGTGAAGTTTTTATAAGAACAAAAATTAGACTTCATAAGGACTAAATAATGGAATCAATATACGTAGCAATCGAAGAAAACTGTGAGGCCATGAGGAGTTCTCAAATTTTCAAAGTTGTAACAAATCTCAATTGAATGACATTTGCGATCAAAGATAACAGTTACAAAAAAATGGTAAGTAATGTTAGCCCAGTTGTTCCTTTTCTTTTTCTCTGTTGAATGACATTTGGGATACCTTACCCATCCCCCTTTTTTCTCCTTTTCAGTTTTTTTATTCTTTTTATAATCAAAAGATAATTAAATAGTAATAAATAGATAAAAATATAAGAATATAAATTTTTAAGTACTTGGAGTAAAAGATTTTAGGCCATTAATCTGGTTTCTAATCTGTGCCTAGGCCTTGGCAAGCAAAAGGAGAGACTTCAAGAAGCTTTGACTAGGGTCTTTGGATAAGTCTGGTGGAGAGAAGGGTTTTGGTTTAAGTTGAGGCCCCTGGATTTGGAATTGTATTCATTCAATTAATTATTCTATCATATTTTACAGTAAGCCTGTGGATAGGAACTTTTTGTCCTCAAGAGGTATTAGATAAGGTGGTTTCCTGTCCCTGTGGTTGTTGATGTTCATAATAGTTTCATGTCTCGAGGAATGGATAGGAAATTAGTCCAAGGTTTTCATGTGGGAAGAGGAAGGTCCTCACTCGCCTCCAATTTGGAGACAAATATTCTTTATTCTGCAAGAGAGGATCTTTTGTTCTACAAGAAAGTTTCTTGTCAAGATTGTTCCATCACAGATTTTTTCTTTTAACACAATTTTTTTAGGGTTTGGGCAAAACTAGAGAAATTTGATATTCAATGTAATTCATCAAATACTGTATGATACTCTAGTCTTAATTGGAGTAGTTACAGTCGAGAAAGTGGAAGCCAAGATTAAAAGTCGAGAAAGTTTCTGTACGTGTGTCTCTTGGTTGCTTCACATAGAGCCCCTTTGTACTTTCTTTAGTAAAGGTCTTATTTTCTATAAATAAACTAATTAATCTTTGTTATGGTTCTACTCAGTAACTATAACTTGTAATTTCTAGCTTCTGATTTTATAGGAGGATGCATTTTACTCTTGTTGTCACCAGTACTCATCTACATAAATACAATTTCCTAAGAAAGATTATCTAAGAAGCCTTAACATAAGCCAATTTTAAGAAGTAGAAAATAATAACAGGACGAACTTACCATTAATAATAGAGGTTTGACAGAATTAAAATCAAATGCCAAGAGACCTTCACGCCAAAGTTTAGAATAATGAGAATGCAGCCATGGACCCAAAAGTAACCCTTGCAAACGATTCTCAATCGAGAGAATTTGACATATAACATCTATGAGGTGGCCTTTTCCCTTCCTTCTGAGTTGAAGACCAGGAACATCAACTCCCAAACCCTCCTCAATCCGACCAATGTTAGTCCTAAACAAGCATTCCAATTCATCACTGGAAGATTTGCAAGGAAAGCACCATCCACATTTCTCTTTCTGAGTAGCTATGTTAAGATTTTGAATAAACGGCCAAGAAAAATTGCTTGTTTTCTTCAAAATGACCTTCATCTGTGCTGCAATTATTTCTTCTTCTGACATAGTAGACTTTTCTTTAATTTTATCTTTCTCGGATGATTTACGCATGAACTCGTCGGCCACTGAAGATGCTGTTTGTGCAAAGCTATAGAAATTGGAGTAAACATCATCATTTTCAACTTCAAGGACATCCCCTTTTCCTATGCTTATAGATGAGGAATGATCAAGACCTGAATATTTTGTATTGCTTTCTTGCATCCCATCTAGACAAGGATCTATCAAAGAAGGATCTTCTCCAGAAGAGAATTTGCCTGATATTCCTTTATCCTGATTTGTGAAATCGTAACCGTTTGAGTCATTTGTCTGATGCTTTTGTATAGTCTGAACGCTAGGGTTCAGCTTACTGTCTAGAGCTGGTTCTTCAGTATTCATAGTTTGACCTTCCAATACAGTCTCTGCTTCAAACAAGTTTGCGGACTTCGCACCTTCATGGCAAAAATTACTATAATACCCAGTCGTACAATGCAGAGAACCTGATTTACTAATTTTTCCGTTTAAGAGGAAAGGAATATTCCAGTGCTTGTAAATAGCCACTAGTATGTCACTGTATGATGAATAAGATGACCTAAGCGCTTCAATAACAGCATCCAGATCACTCCTGTGGTAGTAACTGACAGAGGACTCAATGTCACATGAATCAGACCTGCAAAAATTTCAATAAAAACAAATTTATTTTAAATGAAAACAATAGTAAATCAGAAATAACCTAATCTGGACAGAAGAGTTAATGCACTACTGGCCAAGTTTTCTTTTATCAGAGGCCTTAGCATTCTACATGGATACTTGATACATACACATTACACACCCATGCATCATTGTTATTCAGTTACTTTTATGCGGCCAGTTTATTAACTTGAAAATTAGTAGCTATTATAGGCATGAACCAAAAGGGTATTTTTCCCCTTTTCTATTTTCTATGGAGTTTCATGATTAATATAAATAGTAGAATTATTGTGAGGAAGACCGACCTTTGCAAAAAAGGAGGAAGGGAATTCAATGTGGGTGGCATACTATCTAATGGGTAGAGATAATATTTATTTTTCCCATCTCCAAATCGCTTAAGGTACAATGATTAAAGCATATGCAACTTTTGAAAACTATGAATTAGAAAGAATTAGAAACATGCAGCAGTGAATGATAGTAAAATAATATAATCAGATCTGAAATTTGCAAAAGCAACAATGCATAAAAAAACACCATTTCGGAGAAATAAATGATCAAACTTACACCAATAGGTAGCCACAGCTACTGAAGTATGTACGACCATGAGGATCGATTCCTAAAAATTCTGCTCCCCGAAGTGATCTTTGTGTTTTCATCCAGGGTTTGTGCCGGTCAATGGCACACTCGGGACAAAACCAGTCACCTTCTGGCAAGAGATTATGGGCTATTCCTACACATTTCAAATGATAAGCAGCAGGACAGCCATCACAGCATATTAAGCTACCATCCATTTTGCACAGACAGCATTCATCACTATTCCAGTCTGTGGTGTCATCCAAAATGTCCTCTGACAGACAAGAGTTAACAGCAGCATTTGTTTTCCTCTTTTTGCAGACCTCTGACTTCATGTTTCTATCACGAATAATTTCTGGCTCAGCTGCCAAAGACCTTCTGTTAATCTCTGACCTAATGGCTTCCACTTCAATCATATCGTCACATAGACAGCGAAGTATTTCAATCTTAATGCCCGTAGGTAGTTCGTAGTAATCATTTTTTAGTAATTTCAAGTGACAAAGATCAACACCAGGTTTCAAACCTGAACCATGAATCAATAGATACTCAACCATAAAAATAGGCCACGTAATCAAGTCTAGCATATCCCAGTTAAGACTCCTGATCAAAATTTCAAAACAGAAAATATAACACATAATTATTTATGCATATAAGTAAATATATAATCAAAGAAAAAACTGCATGGATATCAATTATAATCATATTAAAAAATAAAAAGATAAAAGGGGTTAGAATTTCTACCTTAAACAACTAGAAGCAGATTCGGAACCTTCATTAGAGAGATCCTCCAAACGCTTTCTTAGAGTTTGCAGAACAGACAGATGTATGTTATCAAATAATATAGTAGGAGATTTGCACTTAAGGGCTGCCACGAAATCATCCAATTCAAATGGGCTAAGAAACAACAGCGTACTAAATGATCTCAAACAGGCATAAATTGAGAACAAGTCAAGGATGGGAATATCAACAAGATTCAAGTTTTTTGAAGAGAGCGGTAATTGCAACTTAGAAGGAAGGTCAACAGGCATGTCAGATCCTTTACAAGCATAAGCTACCTGTTTTTCCTCAGTTACCACACTAGCTACAGGGGAAGATATTTCAGATGATGCAATTGGGACAGTTTTCTGTATGGATCCTCTACGTGTACTTCTCCTCAAAACTGTCTCCGATGTATTAACAACATCCAAACCCTTCCTTCTCTTTCTTCTGCCACTTCGTTGTTTGCATTGACCTTCCGAATTACCTTGGCAACCATCAATTGCTTGAGGACCAGCCTCAGAACCCACATCGTTCACCTGAATATTGACCAAATCACCATCATTAACACAATTAAGATCGGAAGCCCTAAGTGAGGCTTCAACAGTCACATCTCCACCAGAACTATTGCTGTATTTTGGCCATTCTTCCTTGATATCTATTTGAACTTCTTTCAGATCTTCATCCTCAGATTCCATAATTTTGTCTTGAAGCCCTTCCTCATTATCAAAAACTTTGTCTATTACTGCTTCGGCCATCCCAAAAGAAGTAACTTCTTCTCCACCATTATTGTTATTATCCCCGGGGTCATCATTAACCTCTATATTTAAGTCAAAATCCCATTTCGTTTTCTTTATTTCCACTGGCGAACAACTTACATTGCCCCCAGTAAGATTCTCGTCATATTCAGCATTGACATAAAGATTCAAATCAATGGATCCCCTTCTCTCTAAGTTGGCATTTTTATTAGGACAGGCATGAACATCACTGCCGTCATTTAAATTCAACCACTCATTCGAATTAGACCTCGCATTCAAATCAAAGCCGTCCCTAAAATCTTCATTTCTGCAAAGATTCCCATTGGCCGACCCATTTCCTTCAAAATCCTTCTCATACTTGGGTCTCCTTTCCAAAATATCTCCAAACCCATCACTGAGATTAACATTCACATTAAAATTCTTATTTCCCTCGAGACTTTCATTCAAATTCCCACCAACCCCATCAACTATTTCTTGGGTTTTCTTGACTTCATCACTCAAGTTAAAACTTTCATTTAAATCCTTAACACAAACAACACTTACCACAAAGTCCATTTCTAGGGTTTCATCCGGATTCGCGTTATCTGGCACCAAACTCTTCCCAGCATTACTCGACACATCGCCAATTCCACAGCTGCCGTCAATTCTCCGACGCTTCTTGGGCTTCCGGCCACGGCAGGGCCTCTTCTCCACTGGCTGAGATTGACCCTCCAAAAGCAGAGACACCTCAGACAAATTCAATTCTTCAGAATCACCACTTTCGAACTCCACCTCGAAGAACCCAGTAGTGGTATCGAAGGATTTCACAACCCCCAATTGAATTCCACCGCCTTCGAACTCTTTCTTCACAGCTCTGCCCACAAACTCCATCATGGGTGTTAAAGAAAAACACCCAATGAAGAGCTGGCACTGTGATCTGCTGCCGAAAAAAACCCAATTCAAACAACAAAGCCTTCCCCCACTGCTCCCTCTCTGTGGCTATGTATAAAAATTGCCCTTTAACACAGAGAGAAAGAGGGAAGAAGCGAAATTTCCCCTCAGAAAAATGGTAAAAACATGCAGACAGAAACGGGTTTTGTGTCAGTTGAACCAATTAAGTCCCTTTTGAGGGGAAATGGGTCGTGCCCTCAAGAAGTGCTGTGGGGGTGAAAGAGAGAGAGTAACGTGAACTGACAAAAAAAATCACAATGAAAATTATATTCTCTTCTTCTTCGATTCCGAAAACTTTGCAAATTTGTAATTGGACCGAAGAGAGGGAATAAAGCAACCAACCAATCTAAACCAAAACGGATGCGTGAAGAGAGAGAGGTGGGTCATATGGGAAGTGGCCAAACAGATTTGGCATTGGCAATGGCAAGAACACTATTTTGTTTACAGTCATTTTCTTACAAAATTAAATGATTATGCTATCATCTCAAACCATTGTTTTTAGCATAGCAACTCACTGCAGTGTTCAAATTCACGACTTTTTGGTGAGATGTTTAACCAATGAATTCATTTAGTACTTATCTTTTGTTAATTACTATTAGAGTTTTGACGGATAAGATAGAAAAATTCAGAAAATAAAACAATTTTTTTAATTTTCAAAAGAATGATGAGTGGCCAAATTTTTAGCAGGGCTATCAACAAGACAGGTGCTTTGGTTTGAAATGTTTTGTCCATGACATGTCTAACTTGAAAGTTTTCATATGGGAAAAACCTGATAATATCTATTTGAAAGTGTGTGAATTTTAGTTCACATAATGGATATGAATTGGATTGTCTGACTAAATCTTAAATAATCAATCTAAACGTGGTTTAGTAGATAAGATATTTATGGCTGAAAGGTCAATCCCGCACTCCATTTATACTTAAAAAAAAACTAAATCTTATTTAAGGTGAGCTAAGTTGGAGGTTCATATATACCATGTCTCTAAGTAGAGTATGAAATTAATTTGATTACATTTACAAGAAATTCTAAATCTAATTTTTTTTTTAATCATGGTCTTTGGTTGAACTCAAATTAAGTAATAAAATTAGTGTTATTTATTGTCATTTTACAATGGCAAATGATGTAGAGTCTAGTCTTTAATAGGTTTTTTCTTTTTGATAAATGGTCTTTAATAGGTTATTTATGAAAACTAGATTTTATCATATGAATTGTCTTTTTAAGATGGTCTCTTTGTTGGTTGAGTTTCTGTTCTTTTTGTTTTAATTTAATATTTGTGATTAAGGGGTCATATTTTCATGATTGAATAAGATTGTTTTTGTTAGTGTTGGTTTTTAAAATTGTGTTCGTAACATTTTTCAATAAAATGTTACCTGTTCAATTACCATTAAATTTTTCTAATCATTTGCTAATGTAACACTCGTAAATAATTAAATGGTATGGATGAGATTAAAAAATGTTAAATGCATGAGTGAAATAGAACTTAAAAAAATATATATTAGGATGAAACTAAATATCAAAAGTCAAATAACATGGATTTGTTTCTATTTTCCAAATAATTTATAAATTTCACTAATACTTTTTAGTTGTCAATATGAACTTCGCTGAGCGGTACTCAGAAAATAATTATAATAATAAATAGAAAATAATACCTTTTTATTTAAAACATTTTGAAAAAAAATTATATTTTAATTGTGTACTTTATTTTAGTCTATAAACTTTTAAAATAAAAATTGTTTCAAAAAATTTAGAAATCATGAGCTTCCATGGTAGAGTATTCTAATAAACCAACAACTATGATTAGTATGAGATCATATATTCAACTTACCATGCCTTTTTAACTTTGGGAAATTGTCATTTTTCTACCCAAGATTTTTAATTTTTAATTTGGATTGTTTTTTAGCCTCTCTTTAAAATAAAAAAAACATTCTTTCACTAACTTCTTTCTATATACTTAAAAAATATATATACACAATTTTTTTCTTAAACCTTTCTCACAAACAGAAAAAACATTTTTTCTTAGAACAAAAAATTCAAAAAATTTACAACCTCAATTTTTTTCTTTCTTCTAATTGATTTGCTTCCAAGATTTTTATTTTTTCTAAAATTTATGAATCTTCTCGGTCTAGAAAGAGGTTGAAGTTTTTGTTCTCATAAAAAGTTTTTGTTAGGAAGAAATGAAGAAAGTTGAGAATGAATAGGCAAAAAAGTAATTTCAAACTACTAAAATAAAAAACTTTTAACTTTCAATTTCATTTTGCAATAAAAACAAAACAAGTCTGGTTATTTCAATGATGTTTTGAAGTGAAAAAAAATATAATTTTAGTAAGGTGTCAATGGTTAACTTTCAATTTCATCAAAAGAATTTTTAATTTAGATGTTGTCATCCCTACTTTTTTTCTTTTGAAAAGTATAAATATTGCAATTTTGAACCTTCTAATACACTATTTTAGCGAATCGTTAATAGTAAAAAAAAATCTAAGAAACTTCAAAGAAATGTGGCTCTAGTGCCAAAATTTATATAAAGACTACAAACAAAATAATTCAGTTTCAACTGCATCTTTCAGCCAAGTAGGACGCCATTGTTCATCGCCTTCTTCGCCAACTTGTGCAGACTTGTTCTTCTCCCATCTAATATGGGTAATGGAGACAACTCCTTCTCCTCGACAAGAAGTTCGGTAACATCGATGTCCTTCGACAACCGAGTTGCTTCAATTGAGTTAGATTTCAAATAAATTGGGTATCGTTTTGCATAGATCCCGCTGTTAATTGCCATGTAAATTAAGTTTAGAGTTCAATCAAATGGAATAAATTTATGATAAAATATTGAACTTCCACCCTTTTCTTAATATTAGTTGGATTTTTTTTTCCAGAAGAGTTGTAATTATTTCATCAAGTTTGTTTAATCTTTATTCTTAATTATGTCTCATGTTATAATCTTTTTAGAAATATTTTAGGCACTCAAAAATAAAAACATAAAATAAACTCTATGATTTCATTCTAATTCATCACCCTTAATCAACTTAAGATAGTCCAACTAGTCAAGACATATATCTTTGACCTTAGTCAAAGGTTCACATCTCTATCCCTATATATCGTTTATATCGTTTAACAACTTGAACTTTAGGGGGGAGAGAGAAAAAAAAACCATTCCCCATGTTTCATTTGAATTTATCCATCTAAATTATATGCAGATGACTAGTGTTTCAGATAGAATCCATCCCTGTCAAAATCTAAAATTTAACTAAAAAAACCCACTTCCCACTAACAAAACTTAGGAAAGCATCTGATAACTCTTTGCTTGGAAAATGTCTCAAGAAAATTGTCATCTGGTATGAAAGAAACGACCATAACACCCGTGCGATTAAAATAGATATTATGATACAGGAATTCTTGAACATAACTCAACAACAGGTATAGATAAAACGGTATCTACAACGATTGGCCAGTCTGATATGCATTTTCTGTTTAGCCAAATGTTACATGACACTACTGAGAGATCTATTCACCTAATCTACAAAAAGAAAAAGAAAGGTGGATCGAGGGGAAGAATAGAAAATGTTTAGATAAGTACTATAACAAATATGATTGTTAGATCGCATCTATAGATCGCCGAAGGCCGCTATAGACCGCTTTCCTGAAAAGTGGGTGTGCTTCCTCTGATAATAAGACTTCTGCATCCAACTTCTCAATATGTGGCCATATCTGTGAATGCCACAATGAAAGTGTTCAAGTAAAAAACAGCATACATGTTCTGAAAATTTACTTATTGGTTATATTATAAATTTGGCCTTTTTGTTTTTTTGGAGGTACACCATTGAACTTTCATAATTGTTTTTAACAGGTCCCGAAACTTTAAAAAGTATCTAATAAGTCCATAAATTTTGAATTTTGTCTAATAGGATCTTGAACTCTAAAAAGTGCTTGACTGGTCTTTGAACTTTTAATTGTATCTAATAGGTTCCTTGAATTTCAACTTTTTGTTAGCTCCTAAAGTTTAAAAACCTATCGAACACAAATTTAAAATTTTAGGGACCCATTAGACAACTTTTAAAATTCAAGGACCTATCAAACACAACACTAGAAATTAAGAAACATATTATTCACGTTTTAAAGTATAAGAGAGCTATTAGACACTACCCTAAAAGTCTAGAGACCAAACTTATAGTTTAATTTATTTTGTTGGGTTGTGCAGGTGACTTGGGTGCTGGTGCCCATGTTTTTTCATTTTTTGATAACTGGATTTCCTCCCCTATACTGCGATTGCTGGATGTTGTTATTATATTTTCAAATATATATCATAAAACTTGCATCATTTTTAGTTTTTATGATTGGGAGTCCAGAAAGTATGGCATATCTATAAGACAAAAATACCTCAGAAGCGTATTGCCTTGAGAAGGCCTTGACATATCCCAAGGTTGTTAGGCACCATTGTTCATTTTCACCAATAGTGTAGGTATGCTCTGTCTTACCATTCAATTGACTGCAAAATAACAAAAATATAGTAAATTAATAATTAAGATTAAAGGAACTAGGAAAGATATGGATTGAAATTTTGGCAGAGAGACATCGCATCAATGTTTTCTTGACGAAAGCAAACCTTTTTTCAGGTCTTGCATCTTCATTGTCCATCTCCATGGCTGATGGTTCTTCAAGATCCATGGCATTTGCATCAGCAGCATTAACAGACTTCAAATCCTGCAGAGTTTGAGCACTGGACGCAGCTGGAAGGCGTTCGGTCAATGTATTGGAGAAGTTTCTGTACAATGATAGAAATAATGTCTGCACATGGAAAAGATTGGTTAAAATGGGAAAGAGACTGTTAAAGTTACAAACTGTATGGTGAATTTAACAGAGAAAACCAAAGACGTTGATTGTGGACATCAAGGTTGGGTAGGTCAATGCTCAAGGAAAGGGGTGCACATTATTTCTAGTCTTGTAATTAATACCTCATTCTCCTCAAGAGCTCGCGAAAGAAGAGCTTCTTTGGCTTCTAAATTGTCGCGTGTTGACACTTCATGCTCTTTTGCTTTTTCAGCATACGATTTCAATCGCTTCAGTCTCACGGGATTCTCTCCCAAAACAGGTTCGCCATCCACAAGTGCAAGCTTTGATTCAGCAGCATTCAATTCTTCCTGTGTCTTGGCAACAGCTTCTTCAGCAGCCACAATATCTTTCTTGAGGGAGGATATTTCTTTTCTAAGATCCGAAATACGATTATATGTCTTGCACAGTGCATTTCTTAAGATCTGCACATGAGGTAATAAGAGAATTTTACTGATCTTTGAGGATAGAGCACTTGAAGCCGTTTGATTGAAAATATAGTAAAATCTAGGTGGTAATGAACAAATTTGATATCTTATTCTTATAAAAAAGATATCATGTATATTCGAGTACAAAGCAGTATAAGTGTTTGTACAGATCTGAAAATATACAGTAGATATTTACACAACAGAATCAAAGAAAACTACAAACTTGCACAGGAGATTGGAGGAACCAAAATAGAAATTTGACGGGAGAAGAAAAATCATATCGATCAATTCAGAAGTCTGAAACAACTAATATATACCTCAAATGAAAATTGAAGGGGATGAAACGTACAATTCCAAGCATCTCTGCTGATTAGTAATTTATTCCCTCTAACCATACTCCTCCAAGAGATGGAAAGCACATCAAATGTAGTATGAAATCTAGGAGCCAAGGTTGAATGTGAAAAAGAAATGTTTCTTCATTGTTTATTACTTTTTTTTTTTTATAAGAAACATCACTTTCATTGACAGAAATTATTACTCTTGATGTTCATCTTTTCAAGAACATCCAAAACAAGCAAAGAAAAGTTTTCTTCTCCTCTCTTTTTCGTTTTATATCCTTGAGTGTCCGAGTCAGCTTACGCACACCTTGACTAACCTCACAGAACAGCTTGACCCACAACATTTGGTACCGAAAAACACAAAGGAATTAATTCCTAAGGTAGGTGACATCATGGGGTTTGAACTTATTCCCTCTCAATTTATCCTAGACCAATGATCCACCCATAACGATTACAAGCTAAGAAAAGTTGAACACAAATCTTAGGTCTTCAAACACAATATTAGAAACTTTATCCTGTTTCCAAAATTTTTATTTAGCTTGATTTTCATTCTTTATGTGCCTATTAAGTAAATAGGACCTTAGTTTAAACTATCATTTAATAGTTAAAACAATACAGAAGAAACATAAATAACTCAGCTATGGTAAGGGGGGCTGTGAACACACATACAGTGCCTGATACAACAAGAAAGGTCCAATTAGAGTAACCTATTCAAACCATACTACCAAAAAGTGGAGGTAAATATAAGCTACTTTAAACATAATGTGAAGTAAATTCTTTATTCATCTTCAGCTGGATAGGATGCTCAAACTCCATCCAAAAACCGAAAGGTAAGCAACACTTATATTTTCTCTTTAACGACCATGTTATATCCAAACAATGTAATTAATCTATGTCATATCATCATGCAATAGCTACCACCACTTAATCTAGGAAGCTTGAAAGAGAGACGTAAATCTAATCATGTTGAATTCAGAATACAAATACAAAGAGAAACTGCAGTAAGGTAGTCAAAAGAAACGGCAACTATGTACCTCCCATGGACGATCTGATGTATGAAATTGCTGAATGTTCTCTGGAGAAAAGATCCATCTAACGATGGCCAAATTGGATATTAGCCTGTAGCCCATCATTCTATCAATTGCTATTGCCGTCATTTGAGTGTTATTCTTCCAGTAAGAACCCACTTCAGATATAAGCAAGACCTGCTTGTCCTGATCATTGCACATTCTTAAAATAACTTGTCCATATCTCTCCAAGACTGTTATCAAATGAGTGAAACTCTTTGACCCAATATCTAGAAGAGTTTGCACAACCACCACGAGAGAAACATCTAAACTATGCTTAGGAATTACACTTTCGTCCAACCATGAAATTACTTCACGGGCTGMAGCTCGTCCTTTCACCAAATTGGATAATTCAGCAGACACTACATGTTGTTCACTTTTTTCTCCGTCATCATCCGTAGAAAATTTGAAATTTGGTCCACCCTTAGGAGGTAGCAACTCTTCTAAACCAGGCGCATTCTCAATGCTCTACATAGACACAATATACTTGACATGTCAGAAAACAAAATGAAGCATCAGGAGGATAAGTTCGTATTTACTGCCTTTTCTTATTTTTTAGGCATATACAATTCTTAAGCTGGAACATCCCACAGAACCATAGTCACCGTTTGGTGGATCCTGTGTCACACGTATTGTTCTTCTCTTGTTGGCCAAAAAATCATGCATTCTGTATTTTGTATGAAGGACCATCTTGTTTTACAAATATGCCGAGTACAAGAGATATGAACTAGAAGTATCTGTGGTGAAAAAGCCAATAGCTTCAACATGAAAAAATACCTGCTTTATTTTATCCCAGTATGATAGACGGACTTCTCTATTCAGAACCTCCTGAACAAAAACTCGCTGTGGGGCCCATTTTGGGAGTTCTAGTACGTAAGCCCATTCGTCCCAAGGCCATATAAATTGAAAGTTTGATCTGCATAACCAGTGGCGGTGGCAGAAATGATGTAAATACCAGGCAATCTAATCTTATTGGGAGAGTAAACATTTTTCAGTATGATGCAAGCATAAAAAAGTTTTACATCCTAAACACAAAAATACAGGTATCAGGCATGCATACTAACATGCAAGCATATATAGAGAGAGAGAAAAAAGGAATGATATTATTGAGGAAAAAGATAGAGGAAAGGACAAAGGGAACAAAGAGCCAACAAAGACTAGGGAACATGTTTTGATTGCATTTCGTTTAAGAGCTCGACAGAAAAAAAAGAGCTGCACATGAACAAATCGTTCATCTAACTTAAAAGAAGGCTTGAGAGTATTTATAAATAGGTATATACATATATATATAAAATGAAATAAAATAAAAAAGACTACGGTTGGTTTTTTTTACTCATTCCATTGTCTGGTATTTGGATAATCAATCAATTGATTGAGAAATATAGCAGGAGTCCCAGTACTAAAACTGCAACTATTTTCTTTAAACGTGAATGAACATGCAATCTCCAAGGAAAGAATGATAGAGCTTCAACACTCAAACTGAAGCACTTTGCATGACAAATAGCTCCAGCACCATATGATCCACTATAATGAAGCATCTCCCCTGTTGAACTACAATTAGCTGACCTATTAAATTAGGCAGCATCTCTTCCTAAAGTTTATTTATTGTGGAGGGAGGCATTGAAAAGAGAACAGCGTTTTAAATTAAAATGTAAGTACAGAGACCATTAATATCCAACAGATCATATACATGAAAGAAAGGGAGTAAAAAAATTCAACTCCTAATTCAACCGGGAACCTTTAAGAAAAGGGAAACGGGATAATAATATGAGCATTCAAGAAGCCGCAACACATTTATTGCAAGAAGGTTTATGCTGGAACATGCAAATTTTGAGTACACCAGGTGGGTGTGGGAATTTGAAACCACGACCTTTTTGATCGAGAATACATGTCTTAAGTTTAACAAGTTCAGCTATGCTCAAGTTGAATGCAAAAACATAGAAATGAGCTAAAGTTTGATGCTAAAACATAGAAATTATAGTGAGTTTTCCAAAAACATTGGCTAATGCCTAATATATAAATTATTTAGTGTTTGGAAAGTTGAACTTACAGATGGTGTGAAAACCAAAGTATTAGCCGTATCCGGCACTCCATGTCTAAATCAGCTATTTTCTCAAACAGGGCACGAACTGCACCAGCTACAACTGCAGGAAAGGCCCCGGGAAGAGCCTAAATATACCTCAAAGTTATATTTTGACTTATAAAACTTGCTGGTTAAAAAAATTTGACAAGTTAAAAGGAACCAACAAACCATAATTACAGTAGCAAATAGAAAAAGGAAGAAGACAAGATAAAAAAAGCACATATACAATAACAAAAATCACGTACCTTGCAAAGGTCCATAATAACCAGTGTATAATAAATTGGCTTGAATGGAGGTTGTGGTAGCATGAGTAACTGCAACAATGAAACAATTTCAAGTTTTTGGGTGGGGATGGGAAGCAACTTTAAGTCTGACTTTAAAGTAACCAACTTAACATAAAGAGAAAAATAAAAAAGTAATTTTTTTGTTTTTAAAATGAAGGAAAACTTTAAATTAAAAGAGCTCAATCTTGCTTATGAGAGAAGTCCGCTCTTAAACCTTCTGACCAAGAAAAGCCTCTCAAACAACAAAACCCAGCCAGGAGCTCTAGGACTTTGGTATCACGTAACTTTTCATATGAAAAGTTAGTTTTCTTGTTTAAAAAGAAAGTTTCGAGCATATATACTAATGTACTCATCTAAGCATATACTCCAGCTGAGTTGGCTGAAACGAGTATTGAGTGAGTATATATTAGGTAGCACAATAAATGGAAGGATTAAATAGTGTTTTTTTAAAGTTAAAAGACTAAAGGTAAATATTTTAAAAATTTAAAGACCCAAATGATTATTCTTTTAAAGCTTGGAAACCAAAATGGAACAAACATAAAAGTTCATAAATGAAAATCGAATTTGAATTAAATTTTATATTACTATTTCATAATATTATTACTATATTAGCAGTGAAGTGGTGGTGGAAAGGAATAAGAAAACAAAAAATCAAGTCTTAGGAGGGAAAGTGAAGTGATCAAATAAAAGTGATAATGCCCTCCATTCCCCATCCACCATTATAAATACCAGTTTACTATGTGGAGACTTCTGTGCTAAGAACCTTCCTGAAATCTTGTAAGGTCCCTGCAGAGAGACTTAAAAATGTGCTCCCCTTATCATTGACAATAACCAAGCTGCATTTCTTAAGGGTCGACAGATTTTGGATACTATTTTGATTGCTCTTGAGAGATGATGGGTCATGAGAGAAGATAAATCATAGCCAAAAAAGAGAGGAGGAGACTGAAAAATTTGTCAAAACCTCCCTCTTTGTCATTGAAAATCCTTGTGGTTTTTTTTCCATCCAAATGAACCAGAATCGTGCCCTGGAAAATTTGCAGGCTTGAGCCAAAGAATCTTCTTTTCCTTCTTGAAAGGATTACCAACTGGTATATGGGACATAAGGGAGAAAAAGTCCCCTGGCATAATGAAGGACCAGCCAAAGATGGATGTAATCATCCTCCAGTAAGTTGATGCAAAGGAACAAGTATAAAAAATGAGTCTTTCAGTCTGAGTCAATTTTGCAAATAATACAGCAGCTAGAGAGATACAAAGCCAAATTTGGATACGCTGCAATTTGTCTTGTATTAGCGCATGAGTGACTAAGTTCCCAGATGAAGAATTTGAGTCTTTTGAGATATTTTCCTTTTCATATGCAACAGTATTTTTTTAAATTTTTTGATAAGAAACGAAAATTTCATAATCAAAAGAGAAGTACAAAAAGGGGAGATGAGCTATCCCTGCTTGCCAAGGAATTACAAAAATGCTTCCCAATTGGCAAAAATTTGAGAGACACTATAATTACAAAAGATTTTGTGACTAGAAGCCCACGAAGAGACATAAATTCTAACATTCTCCCAGAAAATCCTCTCGGACCAAAAAATATGTCCTATTCCTTTCGAACCATAATTTCCACAAACCTTGGAGAGATAGGGGGATTAGCCCAACTTTTTACTTTTCTAAAAAAAAATAAAAGCTTTGAACAGAGGATATTGAAAACAATTCAAAATTCAGAAGAACTCTGCATTAGTTGACCTAAGCCGCACCATTACTGCTGGGGTGGCAATCCCGAGAGACCACAAGAGATTCGTCCTTCCTTTAAAGAACAGTCCTTTAAACAACTGTAGGAGGCCATCGGCAGCATTGTTGGGGGAACACCAGCTCGTATTAAACGTTTGGAGGAGATCTGACCATAAGGATAAGGCAAAGGGGCAATTAAAATGCAAATGCCATTGGTCTTCTTCACTGTTCTTACACAATACACACCAGCTGGGGGAAAGACACATATTAGGCAGCACCTTTTGAAGTCTGGAGCAAGTTTTCAGCCTTTCATGCATCATCAGCCACAAACAAATCCTCACCTTCTTAGGAACTTCTTCATATGCAACAGTATTTTGAATTGAAGTATTGGAAATTTTTGACATATACACATATTTGAAAAATAAATTAAAAAATTGTGTTTCCTGAACATGTCTGCATCCTACTTTTTAAAAAAATTGGCGTATTGTGTCGTATATGTGTCCCATGTCCATGTCCATGCTTCTTAGATGGACTCTAAGGAGGAAACTATATCTTTGAGAAATAGTTTTTGTGTTGTTACATTAGGAGCATATTCCAAGACACCGAAAGAAGCCTCAAGTTTAATTATTTTTGTTTCTTTCTCTCAGTCCACTTCATCTTTACATTTTCGTAATTATTCCTTCCCCTTTAGTCATTTCCAATAAGAGATCTATATGTTACTCCTTTGGCTTTTCAGCTCATGCCTTTTGTACATTTCATTCATTCATAAAATTGGTTATCTACCCTCCTCCACACCAGTGAAGACTCTTGGATTTGGCCATTGGACAGTAGAGGTACCTTCTCCACCAGATCTCTTCTCTCTGACATGGCTCCGAAGAGATCTTTCCTCCATCCATCTCTTGCCAAAGTCATTTGGGGAGATAACTATTCCAAAAGAACCAAATTCTTCATATGGGAGCTTGCCCACAAGGGAGTCAACACCTCTGATAGGCTGCAACGAAGGTTTCCGTTCCTTGCTCTCTCCCCACACTAGTGTATCCATTGGAAAAAAGATGGAGAATCCCCTCTCATCTTTTTCACACATGAACATAGGCCACGGAATTTGGGAACAGGGTCCTCCATGCCTTTGATTGGACAGTTTCTCTCCCCTTTGACATCCAAGCCCTACTCTCTTTTGTTTTTGTGGGACACCCCTTCAAGAAAGCAAAGGAGATCATGTGGAAGTAGGGATCGCAAAAAACCCACAGGACCCGACCCGATCGGGTCGGGGAATTCCCGGTTTGACCGGGGACGAGGCGGGGAAGGGGGAAGGATTCCCCGCCCCGTCCCCGTCCCCGCCCTGTTTAATATT